ATTTAACCAGTATTCATTTGGATACATTGAACACTTGTTTTGTGTTTTTTTTAATAAAAATAGATCATCCTCAAGTGCTTTTATGACAGTGTGACCAGTCTTTTATTGCTAAAGAGCAAATAATGTTAGGATTGTCACTGATGTGCTGCAGCCTTCTTATGCATTTCATTTAACAATCATTAGGAAGCTATGATAGAATACAGTTATCCCAAATAAGGCATTAACAGCCGTTATATTGACTAATTGGAAAATATGCATACTAATAAGTAACTGGCTAGCTGTCCAAAAGTTGATTCTGTTCATCTGGACGTAGCGTTTTGTGGGAGAAACGTTTCGTCACTCATCCAAGTGACTTCTTCAGTCTCAGCTGACTGCAAGTTTCCCCAAATCCAAAACTGGCTTGCTCAAAAGAAACATAAAATGCTAATGTAGGAATTTTATTACCTGGAAACAAAAGAGAGCGAAGAGAACTGATGAGGGGGTATTGTCCCTGTCCACAGAACTGTCCATTGAAGTCGTCTAGATCCAGAGCCCAGACAAAGGCTCCTCCAAAAGTGTTGTTTTTTAGGTAACGGACCTGAAGCAGTAACAATCGAAACAATTTAATAACAGTATGCACATTTTAATGTGATATGTTGTTTTAGTACTAATGTTATCTGGCAAAGAAAAACTGAGCAACATCCAGATGCACATGTCTACCTTAGTCATAAAACTTTCTTTATTGTCATATCCAACCCACTCGTTTTGTTTGGTGGCATATGGGACTTTCCGGTCCTCAATCAAGTGGACACTGGCCCCTTGAAGAAAGGTGCAAATCTGAAAACAGATAAAAAACGTATTCTGTGTGGTAACTTGACATATTAACATCGATCTGCTACTTAGACATAGAAACTGACTTACAATGAACATATTAATATGAGAGTGGGGATTTCTTTTTACCTCATAATAAGACCAAATGCCGGGCTCCCTTGTAAATGTGCCAGCAGCAGCAGGGCTGCTGGCAGGGGCTCCAACTTGACTGGATTGAGTAGAAAGACGAAACGTGCGTCCGTATGTAGCAAAGCCCATATTTAACTTTTGTACAGGTGTTCCCTTTTCTGCCCAGTACCTCATAGCAAAATCCTAAAATGTAAATATATATAAGTTATATTATCATTAATACTAGTATTATCAGGTTCAGTGACTCATTGACTTTATAAATAATTTGTGATTTAAATTCTCAAGTGTTAGAATTAGAGAAGGGTGTAAAAATGGTGACAATCAATCCATCGTCAGTTGGTTGAGAACTGTGTGGAAAAGTGGAGTGTGGCTGGGAGCAATTGCAGTCTAAAACAGGAGCACTGTCCTGAAGGGCAAGGGCTATACTAAAAGTTTGGTGTTTTATGTTGCACTGGTAACTGGTATTGTTATCCCCAATAATGATATCTGCATTGTTTTCATAGTCATATCTGCACTATATTAATATTTTTGTGTCATTGTGAAGTCATATAATGTTGTATCAAAATTTTTCCTAAAGAGCTCAGAAATAGAAAGCGCTTATGTTCCCCTTTGACAAATATATTGCTTCAAAATTTGGAGATGATCTAATCTAAATGAAAGCTTTTTCCTAATACATACTAAATGGGTGTATTTTTCATCTTTATTCATATGATTGGAGCAGAATTAGCTGAAATCTTTGTCTTTTACATGCAAATCTACATGCTTGAGATTTGAACATTTTTAACATATTTTCAGTCATTGTGTAATTTTGAGAAATATTATAGTGTCATAGTGATGTTGTAGTGTCTTGTGCAGCTCTCTCCATACCCTTTTATATGATATATAACTCAATATGGTTTCTTGAATTTATTTCATAAAGGTCAAATGTTTGGCCAACCTAGGTGCACATGCCCCCCAAGACCTAGTATATTGTTGTGAAGTCTGAACATGACCCATAAAAAAAAATTGTGTATGTAAAGTTTTTACTAGTTTTCACATTGACCTGATTTTCATGAAAATTAAATCACTTGTTGGTTGTCTTGTTGGTATCTATCATTTCATAAAATTTGAAATGATATCTTGCAAACTTTTGCAAACACTAGACCACTAACAAACAGACAAAGAAACAAACAGAATGGATTACATAATCCCTCTTTTTCAGGGGAGAAAAATGAACCCATCTACTTACAGTATTTAAGTAAATGTGGTCCCCAATATCTTGGGATCCTTTGTATAAGGGGCTGTTATGTCCTGTGACACTCTCCCAGGTACCATGAAAGTCATATGTCATCACATTAATAAAATCAACATACCTGATAAAGTGCATGAGAGGTCAAGGTCAGCAAAACAGGTTTTGCAGGGCATACGATGTGATATTACTAATAAGCTTACTTTGACATCTCTGAGACTTCATAACCGGCATCAATGGTTCCTTTACCAGCAGACACAGCAGCAGAAATCATTAACCTGGGCTGTCCTGTTGATGTTCCCTCTGCCTCAAAGGCCTGTAGTAGCTCCTATAAACCACAGAAAAGAAAGGTAACTTCGTGGTTCATGCCAATCATCAGTAACTCCAAATCTGACCTTGCATAACACTGTGAATCTCTGCTTGTCTTCCAGAGGGCTTCCTCTTGCTGCAGGGTATTCCCAGTCTAGGTCTAGTCCATCAAAACCAAATTTTCTCAGTAGTTTGATAGAAGATTGTATAAATGTATTTCTTTTGGCTTGTGTTGACACCATAGTAGTGAACCTATGAAACCGATTGGCGAAAGAAAGGCACAATTAAAAAGATCTGTATAAAGAGAAAATTTATGATTCATTATTGTTTTATGCTTAGTGTCACACTTTTGCGTTCCGAAATTCCAACCTCCAACTGCCAGCAGGGTTTTAAGATTTGGATTCCTGTGGGAATATAAAGATACAGCAGCAAAGATGATTTTTTCTCAACATTTTGTAAGTGATATGAGGAGAAAATAGACTAACCTTTGTTTGAGTCCATTAAAGGATCTATAGAGTTCCTCATCATTCCATTCTATGGTCACTAATTCATTTGCCTCATTAATACCAGAAAAGGCATAGATTAGGTGCGTACAAAGGTTTGGATCAATATTTGAAGGCATAAACCTCCCATTGCCAGGTCTGTATTGGGACCAGTTTGTGAAGTAACACACAAGTCTGGAGGATGAGACTGAATATGAAAGAACATTTTTCAATCTCTTTAAAACATTATATGACTGTCCAATATAAAAGGGTTAGTACAATTTATGAACTCACCCAGACTGCCAAAGGCGAGACAGAGACCTTAACAGTTGCATTTTTTTTGTTACATACAAATAGTTAAATATAAAATTTGCATTTGCAAAATCTGTATTTCAATTTCCCTTACCTGAGATCACAATTAGGATGCGCATGATAGCTGAGGTAAGACTGGTAATGTAATAAAACAGTGCAGTAAAGAAAAAAAACATGCAGAATCTATGATAATCATTAACTCAAAGTAAACTTGCTTCATAAGTCAAATAGTAACTGATTCATGAACACACACACACACACACACACACACACACACACACACACACACACACACACAGAAACACATATTGTTTTGAAAGCCTCTACAACATTTTCAGAAAACCTAAGATTGCTCATCACGTAGCTTGCAAACACCTGGACCTGAAAGTTAAAAAATAAAAACTATATATAAATAAAAAAAAAATAAAAAAAAATACAAAAAACAGCTGTCTTACTCTTTTACATATGTTCCCTACCTGTCCGCTTGACTGTGAACTACTCCTACACTGTCAGGAGCTGAGGAACCAAAACCGTCACACGGGTACATCTTAGGTCCCTGAAGGATCTTACCTGATATTATGACATCATCGTGTTGCCTAGCAGCCCCCTACCAAGCAGCAGTTTAGTAGTTATACACCTATAAAAGAAACTTAGCATCTTAATTTCATTACAGTAAAATCTAATTATATGCACAAATTTTGAATATTATAATGAATATATTATGGTCTGATCATGTTGTCTGGCAGCTTCCCAGTGACAGACTGAAATGACAGTAAAGCAGGACCTGAACATTGCAGAAGACCCACAAAATGTAATTTCTATAATTTATTAGATATCCTAACAGCGTCAAGCAACAATATTTAGCAAAAGGAAAGGGTTTTCATTCTACTGCAGCACCACGATGGTAACAGTGGTGCAGCACCACAAAGCCATTTTTAATGTTAGCAATTGTTAAATATTATATTGAGCTGTGCATTGAAAAAGCTCGAGTACCAATGATGTGGAATTGCAGTGAATATTATACTGACACATAATTTATTTTGGTGTTTCCTCAAAACAAAACCTAATTTTCAGCTTGGTCGGATGGCTGGAAAGTGCCTGTGCTTACTTGTTGGCTCGATTTATTTCAGTTGTTTGTTTGTAAAGCTCTGACTCACTTTTTCTTTCTACCGTGCTGCAGCAGCCACTCTTCTCCTTTATTAATTCAACTATTCAAATAATGGTTTAACCTTTCACCGTGGTTTTGAATCCCTTATTGTGTTTGAGCCAGCCGTTACAATGCTGGCACAGGGACAGCCATAGCAGGTTTCGAGGAAAAGAAAATGCCAGATAAATGCTAGACAAACAGAAAAAAGGAAACATGGCCAGATTTGTATTTGTTGTACAATCTTTTAGTTACCTTCATGTAAAGTTTAACCAAACTTGCTCCAGTTTCAAGTACATTAACTGGGTGTGCAATTTTCAATCCAGAGACCAAAAATTCAATATTGTTCATCTAATTCTAACCTTTAAAGAAAAAAATGTGCAGCTAGCTGAAAATCTTGGCAAACCCATCCTAGTTTTAAAATGGACCTATATATAATTCAGGCTATAGTAGCTGCATTACATAATGTGTATTGCAGAGTACTGGGCACATTTGCTTAATGGTTAATACAGTTTTTAGAATTTATGGCTTTATTGACTGTCCAGGCAGTGTGGTTCTCATAAAAAATAAAAAGAATAAAAAAACATTTTTGCTAGATCAAGACAACTTTTATTCAGTGTCAATTAGGTACAGCATTTGCATGCATCACTGTAAATAAGATAATTTGGACATTTCTGGATGTAGACATGTCCATGGACACACTGATAAAAGGTGTGGGGATCCTCGTTATTTACATACAGGCCATCTGGCTTTTCAGTGCAGAATCCACTTCCAGAAACAGGACTTGAGGTTGTTTTGGCAGTAGTAGCAGTAGTGGTAGTAGTAGCTGTAGTAGTGGTAGTAGCTGTTGGGCCAGGAGGGATCGTAGAGACAAGTGGTGGATGTGTGGTTACCGGTGGAGGTGGTGGAGAATCTAGTAAATACAGTAAGTATATATATATATATATATATATATAAGTTTAGGAAATTTTGGAGAAAAAAAACTTTTCTTAAGTAGAGATGATGACACTGATGAATATTAACATGTCCATGTTTATACTTTTTCCAGTTTACCTGAATTCAAAAGAGTGCGCAGATAACTAATGAGAGGATAATGTCCCTGTCCACAGAACTGTCCAGCAAAGTCATCGAGATCCAGAGACCAGACAAATGCTCCTCCAAATCTGTTGTCTTTCACATACTGTGCCTGTGAAATATAAACTGTGAGTTGCAATTTAAAACTACCACATTTCTCCCAGTGCACAATCCAAAAGTAACCAGATGTATTCAAATATTAATATGAAACACAAAGCAGGGAATTCGTTAATTCTTTCAAAAAGCTTAAAAGACTCTTTTAAACATCACTAGCTCTGGACTGAAACAGTGAATAATGAAGTTTAAACATATGCTGGAAAACCCAACATGTAACTGAAATTTTATCATATCTGCGAAGCAGGTAACACAACAAAATGAAAGTATCCAGAATAAATCACATTTCATACAAAAAATGAAAAATATTTGCAGCTCTATAATGCTGCATGTAAGAGTGCCATCTTCTTCCTGATAGAAGTTATTAAAAACTACATGTGCGTGGTTTATAACTGCACAGATTAATAATCATCAACTTTACCTGATGTCTGTACTACTTTAAGAGCAGTAAGATATAGCTGCCAGTTAATAAGAACATTATGATTTGTTTTGTATTATCACCTTAAACCAAAATTGGCATGGGTACCTTGATTTCAAAGCTCTGCCTGTTATCAAAGCCAACCCACTCATTGCCCTTAATGGCATAGGGCACCTTTTGCTCATCAATCCACTTTATGCTGCCTGTTTGGACAAAAGTGCAAATCTGTAGAGAAGAAAATAATACTTCAACACCCTTCACACAGTTTGCGATTTATGGAAAACATTGTGGTGTAATAAAACTGAAGATATGCTGCTTTGTATTAGCTGACCTCGTAGTAAGACCAAAACCCAGCTTCACGGGTGTAAGGCCCAGCGCTCGCTGGTCCTGTGGCTGCAGCTCCAAGACTATTAGCAGCTGTTAATGTGGTGAATGTGCGTCCATATGTGGGGAAACCGACTAAGAGCTTTTCCACAGGAGCTCCCTGGTCCCTCCAATATTTCATACCAAAATCCTTTGAGAGAAAAAAATAGTATATTATATAATATTATTATAATGATATTTTATAGTGATGTATATATATATATATATATATATATATATGAATGTTGATGAAAGTTTCACTCACCACATTGTAATATATGTTATCACCCTGATCGACGGAGCTGTGGTACAGAGGGCTGTTATGACCAGTGAATGGGTCCCAAGCTCCGTGGTAGTCATAGGTCATGACATTTATAAAGTCTAGAAACCTGTAAAACATCATCAATGTAACAAAATAATATCAATAATAATAATATGTAAAATAAGTTAAGAACTTGAACATATTTAAAGTAAAAATCCTTAAAAATGCCCATGTATTCAAACTGTAACTTTTCATTCATTCAACAAAAATCATTCAGTGTATTCACATTATGTAGCTATCTCTCTACATCATTTCTTCATGTTATTACTGTGGTTTGCTGTCTAAGCCTTTCACATTAAGCAATGTGTGTATAGTAAATAAAACCACAGGTAGCTCTTCTGATCAAATATATGCTGTCCCTGTAAATCTGGGACCGTCAGTGTTTTAGTATGAATTAATACTTGCATTTATTAAAGTAACCTCCAGTGCTGCAAAATGAAAAGTGGGATGAAATCTTTAGGATTGGAACTTTAGTGACTTCCTATCAAATAAACTCACTTTGACACATTGGCAATCTCATAGCCGTTGTCAATGTTCCCCTTCCCACCAGCCACTGCAGCTGTGAGCAAGAGCCGTGGTTGTTTGGTCTCAGTAGCTTCTTTTTCAAAGGCAGCAAGTAATTCCTAGATGCAAGAATACAGTAGACAAGGATGATATTGTGCATTCATTTCAATAAGAAAGCACATTTTATATGTAAAATACATATAAAAATAACAATAACATACTAAAATATAATGTGCATAGTATTAACAAGTATACATTGATTTCCAGACTAACCTGTAAGAGCACTTGGTATCTCTTCTTGTCCTCTGGTGGGCTTCCCCGTGCTCCAGGATACTCCCAGTCCAGGTCAAGTCCATCAAAGCCATGCAGCCTCAAGAATCTGATGCAAGACTGGATGAATGTCTGGCGACTGGCAGGAGTTGAAGCCATGATGGTAAACCTATTGAGATGGAAAGTTTATAGATATATTGAGGTGATGATGAATTTGTTGTTGTTATGTGAAATAATGTAATTCTACAGCTTTGTGATGCTGTTGTCATGTAGACTAACTGTGCAGTGCCAAAGTTCCAGCCACCAACAGCCAACAGAGTCTTCAGCTGGGGGTTTCTGTGATGGAGATGTAGAAAAACAGGTAGATTTATAATTAAGCCATGTGACTTGACAAGAAAGTCCTCATTCCTCATGTCATGTAAAATCATCCTACTCTTTTTATTTGTTTCCCAATTTTTTATTCATTTAACATAACTCCTATGAAAATTTTGCATTAGAAACCCTTTATTTCAAAAATTGTGTAAGGAGTGATGATCAGTGATAATTGTTTGTGGTTCGAGGTGGCAGAAGTTGTCTTTAACCTGGGTTGTTTTTGGTCAGCAGGGAATGATTCTTCTGTTTGTATAAACAGGTTGAATTTCGTATAGGCCTGAAAAAAACCACAGTACTGCTAACTGGATTTTGTATCTCAGTACTGAGTCAATTTGAACCCCTTAAAACAGGTTGTGTGAGGATACAGTGTCCTATTTTTTTTAGTCAGATTCACTCCTTTCTTGTTATGTCTCATTTAATAAAAGCGAAATGCTGACTGCCAAAAGCTCAACTTGAGTTTGGTTCCACAAATCATTCACATGTGACATGTCTTTTATATATGAACACAGTTTAAACTTTATCCAATTTGATGCAAAACGAATGAAGCACAAGAATGCTACATTTGAGAAATGGTGTGTGTTCCATAAAAAAAGCTTCTTATCCCGGTATAAATATAATATATATATATATATAAATGATAGGTTCTGTGTTCATTTAAAGACCATTGCCTTGTTAAATCTGTTTTATTTTGAGATTTTTGCATGTAACTCTTTCCTCTTTCCTCTTTATTTTGGCTGCACTACTAAAATTAAAACAAATCTGTCAATAGTGAAGTGCTTAGGGTTAAAAATTATTTGAATACCACTTCACCATTCATGCCAGAACAGCTGCTGTACCTTGCACACTTTTGTTATTAATGATTGAGAACAAAGCCACGGTTAAAGTAATATTTCAACCACTCACCTGTTCTTGAGGGCATTGAAGGATCTGTAAAGAACATCATCATTCCACTCGTACATTGTTATCTCATTTGAGGGGCTGATTACAGAGAAGGCGTAGATCAGGTGTGTGCACAGGTTGGGGTCTACATTTTCAGGAATGTATCTCCCAGCACCCGGTCTGTATTGGGACCAGTTGGTGAAGTAGCATGCCAGTTTGGTTGAAGACACTTTTGCAAAGAGGAGAATTTTTTTTTTCTCATTTTAAGTCATGTAATTCAGAAACACGTGTCAGTAATACATATAGATGATCAATACATACCAACTTGAAGGCAAATCAAAAGGGACAAACCTGGAAAAACAAATATATTAGTTATTATTTTGCAGAATTTTACACTTTTCAATTAAGTAGTAACTGAAATAATGATGATTTATTTACCAGCCAAGATTGTTACTCGAGCCATGTTGAATCAGTTTATCCTTTTTCCATCTGCAACATGTGATCTGCAACACCAACAAATAGTTATTTACGATAATTATTTAAAATTTCATGAATCACTGTAAGACTGATTTTGACAGAATCAAACTAACTCTGCGTTCTACAGCTAATTCTTCTGTGGACTGCTGCTACGCGCATATTAAAGTCACGAAAACCTTCTTGCGCTGATGATTACCTTTTCACAGGTAGTTTGACACAAATACTCCAGGGAGTCCTTATAGTTCCGATAGGGCAGGGACAAAGGTCGTGTGCCAACAAAATGTAATAAATGCATCAGTCATAAGATGACTGCTTATGGCTTTTATTACCTGATAAATCTGATGCCAAATTTCTTCAACCTGCTACAGTGAAATCACCTCAGGCCATTCCCTGCTGATAAGAGGACCTGATAACATTGTGAGCCGATGCATCGTATTTTACAGAACATCATGATCATACTGGTTTCCATAGTAATGTCTCGATAAATAGCTAACAACAAACTTCAAAGTGGTCTTTCGTTTAGTTACACACTGTTGCTTCGTGTTATGCTGCAAATAAATTAGCCTGCAGCTTTGTATCACTTTTGTAAATAATGAGATTATTAATGATGAGATTATTTTATGAAGTAATTGATCAAATAATTGATGGTTTATTTAATAATTTGGATCATTTGGTCAATAAAAAATAGTTTGTTGGTGTTTATTTGCAATTACAAATAATCAGTCCGAAACCCGAAGATGATAATTTTTCTGTAATCTTTTTATGATAAATAATGAGATGTAATTGATAAAATAATTGATAATAGAGGTTTAATTAATGATTTGGATCATTTAGTCTATTGTTGTAGTTGTTCAGTTGTTGGCGTTTATCAGTCCCAAGCTTAAAGATGAACATTTTCCTGTCATAATTTTCAGAAGGATAAGAACAACAAGAAAAACAGTTTCAGGATATTATTAGATGTTTTTCCTCTCACAGAAAAACAAAAGAAAAACAGCTTATTATTTTTCTTTAATCTCAACATATATTTTCCTAAATAAAAAACGTAAAGTAAATTGATAAGCTCAGTGAATGTTATTATATGATACATGATTAAAAACCTCCAAAGGATTAATTTTTATCTAGTTTTGGAACCTTCTGATCCAAATCTAACATCTTTGATAAAGTAAAGTTCATTTAACATTGTTTTTCTTTCAGCTCTCTCATAGTCTTTAACCCTTTAACATTACCAGCTAACTAGGTATGCTTGATTGGAGGGGCATGACAACGATAACTCAGAGCTATAGCAGATAAACCAGAAAGAGTTTAGATAACATATCGTTTTGTCTTTAAGTTAATACCCAATGGTGTAATGATGGATTACAGTGAACCTGCCACATCGGAGTGAATTGTCCAAGGTTCAGGGGAATTAATGTGTTTTTATCTTTTTAGTGCAATTTGTAATTAACAGTCTCTTTCAATTTGATTTTTCGTAATTTTAACACCATCATTGAGCCTTAAAACGACCTCAAGTGAACAAGAACACATGATATAATATATGAAGTCAATATTTATTTAACAAAAATCAAGCCAAAATGCAGAAGCAGTGTATGAAAGATTAATTCGATTCTAGATTCACCTTCAGGAGCAATAACGTAGTAATGTTTTTCTGTATGACTTTCAGTTATGCAGCCTCTCACATCATTGTGGAGGAATTTTAACCCACTCTTTTTTTTTAGTGTTGCTTAAGTTCAGTCCACTTTCCTGTTTGTCATAGCATTTGGATTAAGCTGGAGGCTGGACTTTGGACCATTGCAACACGTTCATTCTGTTGTTTTTCAGTCATTCTGTTGAAAATTTCATGGTGTGCTTGAGGTCAATGCCCTGTTGCATGACCCAAAGTTTAAGCTGACTGGGAAGATCACCAATTGTCATGAATGTTTTCCACTTGTGAAACATCCTTGTGGACAATTAGAATGATAGATTACACTTCACTTGTTTGGAAATCTTGATGTAACCCTTCCAAGACTGGACAGTAACAACTGCGTCTTCAAGATCACTGTTAATAATTTTCCTCTCTGGCACCTTTTATAGAGGTGGTCATGATCATGATGATTGTTTTTATTTTATATTTTTTTTAATCTTATATATATATTTATATATATACTTATCTCATGTGACTGTAACATCTGGACATGTGTGCGTTATTCATGTTCTTTCCACTCACACGACTAAACATTATTTTGTGGTCATGTGTTACAGCGGTTAACCCTAAATTGATGTTAAAAGCTAACTCTAAGAATGATAATAAAAGAAGGTTTTGGGCATCCCTTTAAAATTCCAAGATACCGAAGCTGATTTTTCCATCATCCTAGAAATACTTTCACTTTATTTAAAATCAGATATAACAGTCTTAATACAGAGGTGGCATTAGTAGTCAAAAAAAAAAAACTGTTGTTACATAAATATTAGTCATTTCTACTGTGAGTGAAATTAGGAGACCGGTTCATGTGTGACCTCTGATTTTATAGTTTATAGTGATAGTTGATTTATGGCTCACAATTGATTCCTCAAATGGTTTGACATCTTGTTTCATACAGAATCAGATTTTAAACTGACAAATGAATTGTTAGTCCATGGAGAGATTTTCTTTTCCTTTATTTGTAGTACCCTTTTTGTGGCACAGTTGCGGACACGATAACCTCCATGTCTGTGTGGGTTATCTCTGGGTAGTCTGGCTTCCTCCCATAGTCCAAAGACAGGCATGAGGATAGGTTTTTTTATTATCTAAATTGCCCATAGGTATGAATGTGACTCGTTGTCTGTCCTGCATTTTAGCCTTGTGACAGATTGGGCACCTGTTCAGAGTATAGCCCACCTGTCACCCTGGGACAGCTGGAATAGGCTTTAGCCCCCCTGGCGACTGTGAATTGGATAAGCAGAAAAAAATTGAATTGATAGATGGTTCCCCTTCAGGTAAAAGTAGGATACTTCCCTTCTATCAAACTGTAAGTATTCAAAAATAATAGATTTCTTGAAATTAGCAGGAAAAAAAATGATAGAACCAATCTAGATCAGTCCTTGTAACCATTTTTATCAACATGATAAACTGTTCCACTTTCATCTCCTGTGATCCGCAGCAAGTGTCTCTTTCCTAATAGGATAACTGAACGATGTATATTTGTATTTTACAAAAGAGATAAAAGCTTTGTTTAAAAGAAAATCACATCTCTATAGAAAAATGATTCCAACTTTTCTACATTTTATTCCATAAATGCCCGAAAGTTGTGCTGTCTGCAAGGATAGGGAGGGCTTAAACAGCACTTTACTCTCAAGCTGTGTCCTGCTGACAAATAAAAGTTCCTCCAGGTTCTAAATTGAAGGTGGAGGATGCAGGGATAGTGAAACCACATGACAAATAGCTCTGTGTATTTCAGAAGCACAGTCTGACATCTGAGTGTTAAGCCAGGGAGTAGATGGTATTTATTGGTGAGTGCATCTCCAGACTTCCACCAAAGTCCAACTCCCTGACGTCTCTCCTGGTTCCTGTGTACTGGCCAATGAATGAGCCATCTTCATTGAATGGTATCTCGCCCCCTTCTCCATATTCCACCAGACTGTCATCGCTGTCTGATCGCTTCATTATTGCCTCAATAGATGGCTGACCTCTTTGAAGCCCTCGTTCCTCTTCTCTACAAAAAACAATGAAGGAATGAATGATTAAAAAATAAATAAAAACTCAAGATATTATGGAAAAGATAAAAAAATAAAATGATTCAATCTTATTATAAAGTAGTTGTAAAGAATTTGCAGTACTAAATGATCATACCTGCGAGGGTAGGGGAGAGTGGACACACGTGCTATTCTAAAATATGAAAAGAATTCAGTGTGTCAGAGGACTGACTTCCATTCATTTACAAAAGGAAAACGTATTGCAAGTACAAATACAGTTTTTGCAGCTTCACAAATCTGTAGCATCTTTCCAGGATCGCACAGGTATAATATCAAAGTGTCAATATTTGTTTTTTTCATACCTTTCAAGGGACCTTTGAAAAAGAAAAGGATTGAGGTTTTGGAGGGGAAGGGTTTAGATAGAAAAGGCAGAGTAAAAAAAAGAAAAACACAGATTAATGTAATTATGATCAAAGAGTTATTATAAATCAAATAAAAATAAGATTTGAACCTGTGCATTTTGATGCTAAAATCTAATCAAAATTAAAGATACCCAATGGAGTTTTAAATCAACATTAAAGTTATAAAGAAATAATGGTATTTAAGTATTTAGTTCCCTGCTGTTCCACTGATCACATACATGCAGAAGGAGGGTGCAATGTGCTAGCAAAATGAAATGTTAAGTGTAACGTGTTTATGATGAAGGACACTGGAACAGCAGTTCCACAGGGCAGCTTTAATTTATGAAACCAAGAGAAAAATGCACAGGAGCAAATGGATAATAGGTAAACAAATAGGTTGTTTTTATCTAATTTTTCAGGGTTTCAAAGTTTTAATTTTAGTTATAGTTTTCAACAGTGATAGTGTGGTGCAGTGTTACAGTACAACAATAACAAACATAATACACATCTTCCTTGTCGAGTATTATTACTGTGCAATTACAAAATAAATTATAGTACATGACTTAAGAAACGTTGCAAACATTGAATACTTTGTAAAGCAGTTTGGTAAGATAATATTATTTACTGATTTGAGGTGTTGTTAAATCACAACTTCCCTCAGGGAGAAGCAGTAAAAGTTTTTGTTAGTGTATGAATTTAAAAATTCATTCATTTTCCAGAGAAGGTAAAACTTACCGATAATCAAATGATCCCTCCTGATCTTTGTCATCCACCGGCTCCAGTGAAATGTCCTTTTTATCCCGTACTGAAATAGTACCAATGAGCTTTATTAACACCATGGAGCCTGAATATGATTATAACTAACAATTTTTTGATAATTTGTATTTCTTTTTTAAAAATAAGTTAATATAAAGTTTGTTTTATACTGTATTAAAATTTGGTAAAACATCCCAAACGACAACACCCAAGATGTTTAAAAATTCTGTTCAACCAACTCTACAAAATGTAAGGCCTTAAAATTTTTCTACAGCTACAGTTAGGCATCACCAACCTACCTGGGTATTTTCCTCCTCTGCTCCGCTTGATGAAACAGACGATGAGAAGGATGAGC